TATTTACTTTATTAATCTGAAAACCTAAAAAAAAATGTTAACTCTTTCTTTACGGTATTAATAAAGCATTATTCTATTCTCTTCTATTCTATTCTATTTGATATAATACATGGATGCTGGTGGGGGTGTGATATTTCTGAACAACGTTCTGAAAGTATAATAATATTTATTTGCCATAGATTTGAAATATTACAGGGAAATCAATAAGTAAATTATGAACATATGTATGATAATAAAACTTCCAATAATCTATGGCAGGGAAACAGAAATAGCACAAAATGGCTAGTTGAGCCTGTGTCCCTAAAATATATTATAAAACATTTATAAACAAGCCATGCATGGCACAGTCCCAGTTAGTTATTGAATTTAAAATATATAGTAATATATCTGGAATATAACCATGTCAGGATTATGATGATTGTTTAACATTAAAATGATTGACATTTGTAGCTGATCGTCAAACGAGTACTTGTCCATATTGAGAGATATTGCTCTGGAACAGCATTAAAAAACAAAATCAGCCATTTTGAATACATGCATAATGAATATATAAAATTTGACCATAATCAGTCAAAGCATGTCAGAGATATGGCTCTAGAAGCCCATTCATTAAAACAAAATGGCTGCTAGTCAGACATTCTGAATTTGATCTGAAAATTAAAATGATGTGCATCAGGAATTCGTAATGTCTAATGTATGTACCATGTTAATTATGGTACATTGTACTGTAAAGGGGTTAATCATTCACTGGGTTTTAATTTTGCTTATTTCGCTGACTGAATAATGTGCTAAATTAAAACCCAGTGAATATGTAAAATTTAGCATAGAACACATTATCTAAATGATAAAACCGTGAATTTAAAAACTCACTGAATATGCCTGAAATGGTAAATCAGTGAAATTTAAACCCAGTGAAAATTAGTCATTTTACAGTATATGACAAGGGCATTATAAAAGACTATTTGTGACATTAATGATAGAACCACAACAGAGATTAATGAAACTTTATAAGACAGATTCATAAGTGAATTCTGCAAGTATCAAGGAAGTAAGGGAGAAACTTAGTATGCTCAATTTCACTGGGGTGCACTTCAGAGTCAGTGATGTTTGCAGGATACAGTCATCGCTAAGTGGTTGAATCACTGTACTTACCACTATTGAGAGCAAAAGACGAATATCTTTTTAATTTGACTTTTTGGCTCAACCTTCCGCTTTCTGCTTCTCTTTGAAATTCGATAGATTCCATTGTAATAGGTTCATAGGCTTTTCTTTCCCTGAAATAATCAAACGAAATGAGTAATAGTAGAGTTAGTGATGTATCATTGAGCTATGTAGAATACTACAACACAATCAACAGTTCCAATTAACCGGTAGTGCATATACCGGTACCTTCGACTTCATCATTGAAACATCTGAGGCAAACAGGTACATTGTACCTTTGATATCCAAGAGGGTCACCAAAACAGATTTGTTTTTCTCTCAAACCTAGTGAGAGTAAATCTTAATATGCCTAGAAAAAGTTTCTGGTCTATTGGTTTCCTAAAACTACTCCAAGCATATGCATGTTTTTTTTTAAGTATTGTGACAATCCTTTTATGATTGTTAGGAAAATCAATTTCTTTTATAACTGCATATTTCTACTGTCAGGCATGTGTGATGACCCAAAAAACATGAATACTGTGGAATACTTTATTTTCGCTGGAATTAATTTTCGCTGAAAATGCTTTTTGGGCGTTTTGCTTGGAATTTATTTTCACAGATTTTTCATGAGTTTAATGTGAAATATAGGAAAAAAAGTATATTCGCTGGATTTTATTTTCACGGAATCATCCCTTCAGCGAAAATAAATTCCAAGCGAAAATAAAGTATTCTACAGTATTGTTTGTTCTTGGCACTTTGAAGTTCCTGATGTTAAATTAACATACTTACATTTCATTCAAAAGTGTCCACTCAGATTTCAAAGGTTGCCATTCCGCAAAGACAGTAACATCCTTAAACTGTTTTTTTCTTTGAAGGGAAAAAAGTATCAGTATAAGTGCAGGTAGAGCACTGCTAGAACCTTCAAACTTTACACACATGTTTTTCATGTGACATGAAAGACCTGATTTAAGATCAATAATAAATGTCACAGGGTCATAAGTAAATTTCCAGCCATACTATATACGCAACATAAGGCAGAAATTATTGCTCTGACAGTTGGTAATTGACAAAATCTGGTGGAGGTTGGCTTTTTTGATGAACATTGTCTAGTTATTGCATGATTTACAAACAAGTGCTCATTGAAAATGACATTATATTTTATTGAGATATGTATGTCTACAAATCTCACAACACAAGAGTTGTCTAAAACAACAGTCTGATACCACACAATCATGTACATAACACAAAGCCATATATTCACAAACTATACATGTATGTGTGTAGAATTTACCCATCCAAATTTTATTACAAAACTCTGAAAAGATAATATATATCATATGTTATAAAGTTATATAAACAGTAAAGTAGTCTGGCCAAGTTCATCTGCTCTATATAGTCTAGCATGTTTAGTTGCATAGTAATGTTTAGGCTGGTGTATACAGACACTCTTGCTGGATCTGTGATTCCATTTAATTATTTGTCATGCAAAAGTAAATAATCAGGAGGGAAGTTTTAATACAGTTGAATAAATTGATCTAGAGTTTTTACTATCTGCAACACTGCAATATTCCTAGAAACAGTGCTGTTTTTTGTGTTTTAATTTCTATCAGTTGAAGGCAAATGAACACTCATTTGCATATTGAACGTCTCACATTTGACCGGTGTGTACAAATTTAAAATGAATAATTATGTAGAATATCAGAATTCCACTGATCTATATAATCATGGTATTCTGAGCAGATGTAAAAACAAGAAATGATAGACCACTATCGTTTGGTTCTCTCACTTTCAACGAGGTGTCGGCAGCCATTTTGCATCCATAGACATGCATGTATAACACGATCTAGTGATGGGTAGTCACATGGCAATACTTACTGTTCAATGGACCAAGTGGTAGCTTCTGGAAGAGGAAGGAATCTTTCTTTACTCAACTCTCTTGATCTTGAACCGGAACTCCTTACGACAGGTGGTTTCTTTCTGTCCTCATCATCTCCAAAGTCTTCTTCCATGAATTCTAAAAATGATTAAAACTCATTACGACTTTAATAAGATCAGAAATATTCAAAATCAATAACAAATTATTAGGGCCAAGAAAACATCATGTTGACATGAAACAGTCTAGTATTAAATCATACTGATACTGTGCATAAAAATAAAATCGGTTTTAGACTCACCAGAACCACTGGAATCTTCATCCTCTGATGATAGGCTGGAATACTCATCATTTGAAGACTCCTGAGCTTTCTGATTGGCTAATACAGCCTGAAAATGACACAACACAGATAAAATGTTATCCAGCACTGTATAACTTGAAATAATTTAATATTATAATACACTTATTTAGAAAAGGATGCCGTTGAAAGGTTTTTCTAAATTTTGCAAAATATCTCCAGATTATTTGAAACAGAATTTATTCTCAAACATTACAAATATAATTTTGCACAGAAAACAAAAAGTAATGAAAATACATTATTGTGTACATGTATCTTATTTTTGAATTTTAAAAATTTTTGCGAGCTGCATCTGGCCATCTTAAAGTTACCAGTGGTTCAGATTGTTGATCAAACATCAGCAATTTTCAAATATTTTTTTAAGCATTAAAATTGACTCTTTTACACCCAAAATATGGCAAATAGTTAGAAATGTCACGTGACGGCAATTGCCATTTTGGACAAAGCCAATTTTGAAACAAGTGAAGCCTGAGGTAAAGCCCCCACCACCACCACTACCACTTGCCTCTCTGTGTGCTGTCTGTATGTGACCTCTCACTGCGTATTCAGTTGATAGCCCTTATCACACATGGAACATTTGTAATCTTCTAAAACAAGTCCACTCTGAAATAACAAATAGAGGAGAATATTTTTTATACTGGTCGAACAGTCAAAAGGCCTTATGTAATATGTTCAGAAAAATATTTCACAAATTAGTATTTTAATAATTAAGTACATTTATGTATTGTATACTACAGTCACTCTTGTGTACAGTAGCTACCCAGGAGACTTTATTAAAATATTCTTTGTAGACAGTTGTTTTATAGAGGGGGGTGGGTGGATTATTTTGTTATGGATCATCGATCAACATTTGATGTAATATTTGTCCCAAAAATAATGAGATTTTACTACCGGTAACTTTTGTAAAATCAAACAATTTTGACTGGAGGAAATTAAAAATTGTGTTATTTAATAACAAAATGCCAATTATTATTTTGAACGACAAAGTCAACTGTTGTCATTTTCCAAAAAATAAAGTGTTTCCAAATATTATGAAAATTTTGATCAAGACCTGTTGCGATTGGAAAGTAATATTCATTTCGTCAAAAATTACAAAAAAAATAATAGAAAAATATTAAATTTCTGCAGAATGCTGCATCAAAATTTTGGTGGGAGAAAATGATGTGTTGAAAGGAAAGAGTCAATACAGCCAGTAGTGTACATAAAGAGAGTAAGTCTAACCTTGCTGCATATTTTATAGTGGCCTTTCAGTGATGGAGCCTGAGTATAAGTAGCGTCACAACCAGCATATGGACAGCTCACTCTGCCTTTTTTCTTTATCGTCTCCTTCCATTGGACCATCATTTCAGAGCTTACCAGAGGTCTCACTGGCTTATGATACAATGGCTGAAAAAGACGAAAACCAGCAAATATTCATCGTCCGATTCGCACGGTTTCAAAACCGATGGTAGTGTTAGAAAGAGCTGTATTTGACCTTTGACCTTAGTTAAATTGAATGATTTCATTTGGCATGACAAGGAGCTTGATCCATCAATAAGCATTCTTGTAATGACCATTTCAAATTTGAATTTGATTTTGTCATCTTATATCACATCATTGCATAACTTAACATAAACACCTAACTTTGCATTTAAATTGCGTCACAACACTCGACTTTGCGATTCATGTACCATGAAAATACACCAGTGTATGTGCCAGTACTGTGTTTGATTTCATCGTCAGGAGTGAATACAGGTTTATATAGTGGGAATTCTGCCAAGGTATAATGGTAGGTCCCTTCAGTCACCACTTTATGCCTCCCTCGGTTTGGGCTCTTGGACTCCATCCTACCCCCATTTCAGGGCTCGGCGGCCATCTTCTTGGTCACCTCGCATCTATCTTGGCTTCGAAGCAGGATCTCCTTGACCCATCAAGGTCAAGACCTCGACCTACCTTGCGGGTGGCCTTGACCTCTGTAGTGTGACTGAAGGAGCCCCTTCCCAATTTTGTAGTTAGATTTTATATTGTAGTTTTATATTGTGTTATTTTTATTATATTGTGTTTTTGTGCTTCTGTATTTGATTAAGACTTGTATTTTACCATTGTCGTTTTTTCTATTATTAAATGCAAACTGTTCCTCTTACAAGCGTGTGGCGTGTTACAAAAGTAATTAGGCAGCTTACTAATTGAGATAAGTTTTTCATTATATTCAATGAAAATTTCTATGCCATAATACATTGTACATGCAAAAGTCAAATTTCAACTTCCCATTAAGATGTATAGCGCATGTTCAAAATTGTTTGTTTGAGATATATTTTGCTCATGCTGCATGACGTTAATATTTAACAGATCGTAGAGTGACGATTGCTTTTGAAACCGACCTTGCTCCAGTCAATAACCATTTCCTCAAAGCTGGTCTTGTCCAGACTATCCAGAACAGTTCCATTTTTAACCAGCTGCTGTACTTTATCAACAGCCCTACAAAAGGAAAAGACAACAATTTATCATACTGTAGAATACTTTATTTTCGCTTGGAATTTATTTTCGCTATTTTCACTGAAGGGATGATTCCGTGAAAATAAAATCCAGTGAATACATTTTTGTTCCTATATTTCACATTAATTTCATCAAAAATCAGTGAAAATAAATTCCAAGCAAAATGCCCAAAAAGCCTTTTCAGCCAAAATTAATTCCAGTGAAAATAAAGTATTCCACAGTATTTGAAAAACAATGATGGTCAAAATAGCTCTGCTGTTTCAGCAGGGCTCAGAGTGTTCCCCTAACATCACAGAAGGAAATAATCAAATAGTTGTCCATTCAAGCTAAACGTATATCAAGTATCAATTCAATTGGAGTAGCGGTTTTCAAGAAGAAGTTGACAAAATTACAAAAATATTCACCAAAAATAAAGAATTGAAGATAAAGTCATGAAATGAAGAAATCTGACAGAGATCCTCCAAAGTATCTTTATACCAAGTATCAAAGCAATTGAGCTGGTAGTTTTCAAGAAGAAGCTAAATATAGAATTGTTTATGAATGATGAAACTGACGGATGATGACAGACAATAACCTATATGAACTGTTTACTCTATCATCTTTTATGACAGCTATTCTAAAAACGTAAAAAAATTTCACCAAAATTTCAACCATTGAAGATACATGTTTTTTTGTACAGTCATGAAATGAACAAATCTAACAGAGGTCCATCCACATATCAAGCACTAAAGCAATTGAGCAGGTAGTTTTCTGGAAAAAGATGGAAATTTAATTGTTTTTTGAATGATAGATAGTGCACAACAGGTGACAAACAATTACCTTCACTAAAAATTAATTTGTAGTTTTATAAATTTTTCCCAGGAAGCTGCTAAATGTTTGACAAGTTATTTACTAGAATTTAATCTAGAGTTTCATATAAAATTTATAATTTTTTACACATTATTTTAAAAAGTGTCAAGTCTCTTTCAGCTTTGTTTATTATGCATTATATGTTTTACTAGTTCTTTGCACTAATTATTTGAAGTATAAGTGTAATTTCTGCAAATTTTTTGGGTTGTGGTAATTGATTTTTTCTCATTGAGGTTTATTTATGCTACTCAGTCTGCCCTGTATATCAGTTCAACTTGGCATTCTGGTCAGTAAGCAAGCAGTTTTTTTCCACACAAGAACATAAATTTAAAGAAAATTGGATTTGTGTTCAAAATAGAGAATTGTGAATATAATTACTTGACTGCTGCTCGTCTACGAACTCTGCCAGTGGCTGTAAGCTCCTGTGATGCAGCTTCTTCCGACTCATTCTTGTCATTCAGCTTTGTTACATCTTCAGGTGGTGGTGTCTGCAAATAAAGCAAAAATATAAAGAAAATCAACTGCAGGAAGACCATGCTAACAGCATTGCAAATAACACTGATAATCTAAATCTACTGAGACTAGCAGCATCTAGTAGACGGAATACCAGTTCATGTGTACCCTTCGCAACATGATTTCTATGACCCACTCGTAAAATACAAATTGTCAACTGAATAACAGCCAAATCAATATATCTATTTTGCATAAAGACAATATTAATGAAAGTGGGTGAATATTGGACAAAGACCTAGGAATAACATTAATGAATGTGGGTGAATATTGGACAAAGACATAGGGATAACATGGATGAATGTGAGTGAATATTGGACAAAGACATAGGAATAACATAGATGAATGTGGGTGAATATTGGACAATGACCTAGGGATAAC